TCCTCTCCCGTCCCGGCGAGGTTTGCAAGGGGAAAATATTTTGCCATGCCAGCTGGAAACTCCTCCAAGTAACCGCTGTGCTTTTCATCACGCGGGCACTGCTGCATGGCACAGACTTCACATTAACTTTTAAAGAGCAGGAGGTTGTAGCTAGCTGTTGTTGAAAGCTTCTTCGTTTAATTTACAAGGCGGGGGGTGGGGTGGGGTGTGGAATCTCCATCTGGTATTGCAAACCCAGCCAAGTCTCCACCTAAATTAGCAAGCACTGCAGAGCCTCAAAAGCCTTAGGGGAGTCCCCATGCACCAAGAGGAGGAAAGGACGTAACTCTGCAGCACCTGGAGGGAAAGGGGGGTTCAACTGCCTGCCCATCACGGGCAAAAAACTCCCCTTGGAGACCCCCCTGCAGCAGCAGTTCGGCTTGAGGAGCAGAGACACTGCTGGGGTTCACGGCAAGATGGGGGATGGCCACAGCGCTCACCTGTAGCCTACAGTAGCAGAGCACGGCAATGATGCACAGTAGGATCACCGTCGCTAGGATTCCCCCGGTGATAACAACAGTTCCCGCTGTCATCCGACCGATTCTCCATCAAACTCTGAAAGGCAGGGCCATAGGGACACACATCACCCTGGGACATGAAAGTCACCTACCATGGCTTCGGCATCACATCGCGCCCATGAGGCATCCCAAAAATATCGCATCCTTGCTCCTCCTTCCCCAACCGGAAAACTAGCACCCAATATCATTCTCCTCTTCTTAGCGAGAGGATACCTGAGACACAGCATCACGGCCCCTCGTTGCCATCGCTGCTGGTGCTCTTTAGGAAACGCTCTGCTGCCCACCAGCAGAGCCTCCCCACTTGCTGAGCCAAAAGGGCTGATTTTCACCCTCCCGGCAGAAATTACAGCCTCTACTTCAAAACGCAGAAGCAAACCTGAACTTCCACCAGGAAAAGCCAAAAGGGAGCCTTTGAATTCCGCAAATCTAGCAGTCTGAGCCCAAAGAACACACCCTGGCTGCCTGCCAGGCACCGATGGGTCTAACATGGGCTTGGCATGAGCCAAGCAGCCCCCACCGCCGTCCCCGTGCCACGGGACCCGGGAGCTACTTACGTTCAGTGACGGAGGCGTTGGACCTGGAAGGAGCAGAGGGAGAGGTTAACCATGGCCCGCCAGCAACCCCCCACGCTTTTCCCTGCTTCCCGAGAAATTGCCTCAATTTGGGACCCGCAGGAAGCACTGCTTCACGTCCCGCATCACACAGGGATGGGCGTCAGCGCATGCCTGCACCCCCGGGAGCCTCCGTGGTGCAAAAAAGCATTTTGGGTCCTGCAGATGATGATGATCATGATGGTAATTATGAATTACTATTATTTTCTCTAATTTGGAGCAGGGAAAGGAGCCGTTTCCCAAGCTTAGAGAAATACTCCGCAGG